CGTTCAGAATCTAAAAATGCTAACCTTTATTATACGATTAAGTTTATTATAAAACTAAATGTTTCATTAATCAGAAACAGTCAATAATTTTTTGCTGGTGGAGTGCGCCATAGTTGTTGTACACAAAACACAGATGGCTAAAAAACGGAACTAATATAATATATAGACTGAAATATCCCGCATCCCGCAATTTTCAATAAATACACTATTTCATACATAAGATATTTTATAAATACTCAAATTCATTTAAAATTTAAAATTTTCAGCCCAGAACGATGATACCTTAAATAAGAATGAAAAAAGTACGTTGTAACACTAAAACTTTATGGGACTGTGTTTGTTTTGTAAACTAATTATCAAAAAAAATACACTTTTGCTATTCGATTATGTTTAGCATAAAACTAAATGTTTGACTAATCATAAACAGTCAACATTTTTTTATTGGGGGAGTGCGTCATAGAGCTGTTGATCACACAATACAGATGGCTAAAAAACGGTACTAATGTAATATATAGACTTAAATATCCCGCATCCCGCAATTTTCAATAAATACACTATTTTTATATAAATTATATTTTACAAATACTCAATTTCATTTTAAATTTTAAATTTTCAGACCGGTTAAAGAATATCTTACAAAACATTCATGATGGTACGTCGTGTCACTAAAACTTTAGAGGATTATATAAATTTTGTAAACTAATCATCAAAAAATCCACAAGTTTATTATACGATTAAGTTGATTATAAAACTAAATATTTCACTAATCAAAAACAGTCAATAATTTTTTAATAGGGGAGTGCGCCATAGAGCTGTTGAGCACACAACACAGATGGCYAAAAAACGATACTAATGTAATATATAGACTGAAATATCCCGTATCCCGCAATTTTCAATAAATACACTATTTGTATATAAATGATATWTTACAAATACTCAATTTCATTTAAAATTAAAAATTTTCAGCCGAGTCCTCGGATTTCATAAATKTGATTACAAAAGGTACGTCGTACGACATACTCGTGTCACTAAAACTATAAAGGATTATGTAAATTTTGTAAACTCATAATATTTATAAAAAGCACACGTATGTACGTATGTTATACGATTAATTTTAGTATAAAACTAAATGATATACCTACTAATCATAAACAGTCAACAATTTTTTATTGGGGAAGTGCTTCATAGAGCTGTTGATCACATAACACATATGGGTAAAAAACAATATTAATATATATTGACTGAAACACCCCACATCCTGCAATTTTCAATCAATATACTGTTTTATATATAAAATATTTTAGAAATACTCAATTTAATTAAAAATTTAACTTTTTCAGTTMAGAACGAGAGATCCTTTGTGCGGACTGAAGAATGTACGTCATGTCACTAAAACTTTAAAAGATTATATACATCTTTGTAAACTTTTAATCAAAAAAGTACTCTTATGTAATACGATTAAGTTMATTATTAAACTAAATGTTTCACTAATCAGAAACAGTCATCTATTTTTTACTGGGGGAAGTACGCCATAGAGCTGTTGATCACACAATACAGATGGCTAAAAACAGTACTATAATATATATTGACAGAAACACCCAACATCCCGAAATTTTCAATCAATATTCTATGTTATATACACATAAGATATTTAATAAATACTCAAATTCATTTAAAATTTAACATTTTCAGCCTTGAACAATTATTTCWATGGTGTGAATAAGAAAAGTACGTCGTGTCACTAAAACATTAAAGGATTATGTAAATTTGGTAAACTAATAATCATAAAAGCACACCTATGTTATAGGTACGATTAAGTTTATTATAAAACTAAATGATTGACTAATCAGAAACAGTCATCAATTTTTTACGGGGAGAGTGTGCCATAGAGCTGTTGATCACACAACACAGATGGCTAAAAACAGTACCTACTATAATATATATTTATAGAAACACCCCACATCCCGAAATTTTCAATCAATATTCTATGTTATATCCATGTAAGATATTTTATAAATACTCAAATTCTTTTTAAATTTAACATTTTCAGACGAGGTTAAGATTGCCTCAGATAAAATTAATAATGGTACGTCATGTAACTAAATCTTTAAAGGATTATCTAAATTTGGTAAACTAATAATCAAAAAATCCACACGTTTATTATACGATTAAGTTTATTATAAAATTAAATGTTTTACTAATCACAAACAGTCAATAATTTTTTGCTGTGGGAGTGCACCATAGAACTGTTGTACACACAACACAGGTGGCTAAAATACAGTACTAATATAATATAATGACTGAAACACCCCACATCCTGCAAATGTTCAATAAATATACAATATTATATGCATATAAGAAATTTTACAAATACTCAATTTCATTTAAAGTTTTCCTATTTCAGCCCTGTCCGAGGATACCATAACGTTGCTTGAAAGAGGTACGTCGTGTCACTAAAACTTTAAAGGATTATCTAAATTTTAGTAAACTAATAATCAAATAAGGCGGGTAAGTCATGGATGTCGCTCTGCTGTACAATAGGTTACAAGTGGGTTACTGTAATGGATGTAATTAAATTTGAATCCAATGATATTATATCATTGTATACGAAAAACGATTCTGAGCGAAGACGGTTTAT